ATAAAAGAAATTTAGATGACAAATTTATTCACGAATCCATGAAAAAGCAGTAGCCATTTTAGCTCATTAAGTAGTATGCATTTCTAATGAGTTTTGGAATATCCCACTGCCAGGCCCCTCAACAGACTCCGAGGCAGCTGCCCCCTCCTCTCATCAGCCCTGTGTGTATGAAAGTACACAGCAGTTTCCTCCAATTATAAGTCATGTGATATCTCAAGGTTACAACCTTCCTTATTTTAAAACAGGTAGCAGTAGTTGCTCGGGATAAGTCTGATGTTACCATGTTAAGTAAGTAATGTAAAGTTCAGTCAGTTTGGAATAAACCACAAAGTTTTGGATCTAGCTCTCTAGTAGAAGTGACCATCTGTCATATCAAGCAAGTACACAAACAGTTAAAATCATAAATAATATTCAACGTTAAACTGGTGCACAATTAAAAACATTTTATATAGGCCTATCTATGGCCTTCAAAAAGTTGATGACACTACATGTTTCAACGTTACAACTATAAGTACACAAACAGTGTTTGTATTTACAAATAATAAAGACTGTTTTTTGTATTTTTGTACAGTTGTGTTCAGTCTCTTTAACGTTTTTCTCACAAGCACATGAAATAATTTTCCTATTTTTACAATAATTCTGTGGTAAGTTTTGAAAGTTTTTTTAGTATTCTTCTAGTTGTTATCTTGAAAAGTGCAAACATTTTCATTCAGTGAAACTAAAGTAGCTATTAAGCTCCAAGTAGTTGTAAAAAAGTATAATGTTAAATTAGTTTGGATTACATTATGATTTAACAATCTCCTTCTTCTTTTATTGTGATTGATGTTTCTTTAATAATATACCTCATTGTTTTTTGTACGTGAATGTTTAAAGTTTTATCTAAGATACAATTTCCACACATTTGTGGAAATTATGTAATAATTGTAGTTTTATTAAGAATATGAATACATGCATTATAAACTAGGTTTCAATATGTATGTCTTGTATATAACATTATGTGTATTTTGATTTATAATAAATACCTATTTCAATGAAATTCTCTGACATAACTGTAGATGTTACATACTTAGCTGGGTGAAATAATTATCTCAGCCAAGAGAAATATAAGAGTATCAATGCCCTACTAATTTTATATATGTGACTTTTATCTTTGAATTGATTAGTGTGGATGGGTGTATGGTCCCCAGTCACTTATTCACTGTCTCCAGCTGTATCACACTGGTTGTCAGAGGGCCTGTGTAACACCAATACAGGTAGGCGTAATAGGATCATTTCAGTTATTGTATATATAAATAAAGGCATTGTTTTCTGGCATTTAGGTTGAATATATGATCCCAAGGAGCTGACTAGACCTTTACAGTTACTTCATGGTATTTTTGGGTCAGACTTATAACCTGTAGAATGACAAGTTAGGTCTGCAAGATAGTTAGTTCTGAGTTAGTTGAGTAACTGAGTGTTACCTTACTGATAAATTTTCTATGTGTGGTATTAATATATTTACAAAGAAAATGGGACTTTATGCCCACATGTTCAAGGTGTTTTTTTTATACATTACAGGAGATTATATAAACATTTAATAAAAAAAGAAAATTGTGGTCTAGACTAAGTTTTAATTCCAAAATATTCAGTCTGAAATGTATAACAACAGTGAGATGCATTATGTAATTCTACAGTAAATTCTGGTGGAGCTTTAAACAGTGTATGTAAATATTTAAGATATTCAATTTATATCATTTACTGACATGAAAAATAAATACAACAACACATTAAAGACTTACAACAACCATAGCCAGTTCCATATCAAAGACAACAAGAAATTAAAAACTTACGAACAACCCTTGCCATTACAAAGTTAGATACAGAAACACACTAAAGACTTATAACAACCCCTGCCAGTACCAGGTTAGATACAACAACACAGTAAAGACTTACAACAACACCTGCCAGTTACATGTTAAATACAACATGAAAAAATAAGTTCTCTGCATCACAGCACAAAACCAATACAGCCTTAATATGTAATTTAATAAAATAATAATAATCATAGTTCATCAAATAAGGTGAAAACAAAGTTTCAATAAAACTATTCCCTCTAACTAGTTCTTGAACCTAAGATTCAACACTTATTTCACTAAAACATAAAACTTTGATTTTTCTGTACTTATGATGAAATAATTAAATATATATATATATATATATATATACATATATCCTTTAAAAGAATGGTTAAAATTATGTAATGGCTACTATTGCATTTATTCACTACTTATTTCATGAGAAACATTAAGATGTTTTGTGATATTATAAAAAAGATAACTTTTATTTTCAAAGTATGTTTAAGTCATAATAAAATCTTGAAATTACATTGTTCGTTTGATGTAGCATTCAATTTAATTTATGATTATATAAGGTTGAAATGCATCCCACGTTTAATGGTAAATGAGATCATAAATCAGCAGTTTTAAGTTATGTTTCAATTATTTAATAAAACAAAACAGCTTGGAACCTTTTTCAACTAAGGGATCTCCTTTCGTTTTCAGTCTGCCCATACGAACACTTGGACATGAGTACCTACCTTTGTTGGAAAATGGGAGACCAACAGAAAGACTGATGACTACTCAACAAAAACTACTCTTCAAGTAGTAATATTGGGGGAGGTAGTTATATTACATACATATTTGTACAAAAGTAGATTTAGTAATTAAATATTTACTTCAATATAAACTGTTTAATACTTGGAATTACAGCTAACTCACTGCCATAATAACATGTAATTGAATTGTAAAACATAAAAGAGCTGAGAGATTACAGTAAATATCTTCCTTTTGTTTTCACTAATAATGATAAACAGCTAGAAGCTAATCTGCCAGTCATTTTTATTAAAGGGTTAACTTCTTTCACTTTTGAAAATAAATAAAAAAAAACATTAATTGTATCTATTAAATATACAAAAGACTAATTTTGTGAGCATGTACAAAAATTAAGGATTAAAGTTAAGATACGTACATTTCAGATAACATTAACAATTTAAATTATTTTGATAAAATTGAAGGATTTAAACAATGTTAAATGAAGCAGGAAGGAAAAATGACTGACCAAGGAAAACCTGGTGGTATAATATAAACAAGTGTAAAGGCAAGCCACTATCAACTCATCTGAACTATAAAGGATCGAGTGTGGCGGATAAACTTCACTGCTAAATTGGTGTCCGGCTGACCAACACATTCAAAGGCTGACTATTTGCTTTTATAATGAATTATGGTGTTAAGGAATGTTCCTCAATGATCTACTAGCTTCAACTCTTGATCCAGTTAGTTCATTATCTATTACTCACTTTTAATTTAAAAGGATGTCCTCATACACCAATCTCCATAACTTTAGTGGCATGATTCATGCAAGTAACTAAAGTGTATGTATTATAATTCAGTAACTATAACTTAATAATTTAATCTCACATCATGTACTCCAGTAATCACGTCTTATGTGTACTCCAGTAATCATGTCTTATGCACAATTGGCCAAATGTGGCATAATGGTTAGTGTGCTCAGACTTTGAACCTAAGGATTGCTGGTATGTGAGCCATTGTTGTAAAACTTACTCCACAATGGCCTAATCGTTAGTGTGCTCAAACTTTGAACCTGAGGGTTCATGGCATGTGGGTCAGTGTTGTAAAAAAACTTGCTCCACACTTTAGGGCATGGATGGATGCACTATAAGAATGATGATCAAAATATGACTGTTTGGTCATACAAAAACAGCCCAACAGTTGGCAGTAGGTTTTGCTGACTAGCTGTTTCCAACTAGACCATCAGTTCACAATTAGGACAAAAAATTCTGAAACAACGATTGTGCACAACTTGTATATTTTAATAAAAATCCTAAGCAAACAACTCCATCCTACCATATAAATAAACTAACTCTACCAAGAAATTTACAGATGCTATTTACTGGAAATGATGCAATGCAGATTCTATTGCACAAAAGTCACTTTTAAATCACAGTTTGGTTGATCACACACACACAAGGAAACATAATTATGCAAAATAAAAGTATGACATATCTTAAGTCAGCATGTGTTCAAACAAACCTTTAAGGTTTAGCACTAAAATACACATATAATGCATACATTACATTATATTATCATATAAATATCCATTCTATTTATTGATCAGGTACATTAAAAATTTCCCCTTTTAAGCTATGAACTCTAATACACTGTGCAATTCATGGTTTCAACAACTATTTGTCTAATATTGTAAATAATAATTAATTTACTCTTGATTTTACTTAAATAGTTTAATCTAATTTTCATAATCTGTGTAAATGTATTAATCTAAAAGATTTTTTATTTGTAAGTTTCACCTGTGTTTTACGTAGTTGATGGAAAATGTGTAAAATCCTGATCACAGGGTTCATTTATGGGAAATGAAAAGCAGGAAAACAATAAAAGTTTTTAAAGCACTCACCATGCATAGAATTACTTTGAAATACTCTTTGTTACACTGGATTTAAAAGAATTACTTCTCTAATTGAAAAAAGTCTAAAATTAACACTATAATGCATAAAATAACTGTCTTTAAAACTAAAAATATTACCTTCCATCCTGTAAGATTAAATGTTTTTCCAGCACTTCCAATGGTAATTGTTAGTTCCCACATTCCAGGGAGGGTTGCTGAGTAAATAGGTAAGAGTATAGTTATTAAATTTTTAAATATTTGTTTCCTCAGAAAACGTATTTAAATATTACAAAAAAATTACATTCTTGTTTCCAAAAAACTTTTAAAACATTAGAAGTATTCAAATCTTAATAATTTCCTTCTTGTTTGGTTTAAACACTCATATCATTTACTTATTAAACAACAAAAACACGATGGAAAGGTATACATATTTTATAAACCATGTTTTATACCTATATTTAGTTAGGTTCATGGAGACTTTCCAGCCATTAAACACTACAGTTGCACTACAAGTAGACTTATATAGAGCCACAAGACGTACAATTTCAAATAACAGAATCATTGATGTTCTCCCTGGAAGTAGAAAACTTAAATAACAGAGTGTTTAAAACATTAATGTACACCAAAACTACACCCCAAACCACTCAGGAGTTACACTTTCATATACAAAATGAAGGCTTTAATGGAAGACAACTCTATCTTGAACAGCAATAAAGCTGGCAAAATCTCCAGCAAAAAAAAGGATTTACTGATTAAGGGTCAAAAAGCTAACTGCCACCCCACAAAATCCAAAGCAGTTTCCATGAAAAATCTAGCCAAAGAAATTGGAGTTAAAGCAATCCCATTTTATCACATACATTTCAAGTCCTCTAATGCAGTTTCAATGCCTGTATTGAGATACACATTATTTCATTATTTTAAACATATAAATACTGTAATGCACACTCTAGACTTGTACACATTTTTGCATATGCAAAGGGTTAATCAAGCTTTATGAGAATGATGTTACAAGATCCTATGCTACCCTTAGAACTTCTTCCTCTGTCTTCAGTCATGCTTAAAATGATGGCCATGATTTCACATTATTACTCAACACAAGAATGTTCACTGTTAGTGTGCAAATCTTTGACAACGATGGTGAGGTTAATGTTAGACCACACATCTTAACAAACTTTCCACAGACTTTCCAGCATACATGAACATTGGATTCCAATTCCATGTTAAACAGACCAAAGGCAGATAAGTAATGTGTATGAACATTTCCTGATCACACAAAGTCTAAATGTATAAATTCTACATATGAACGAAAATTGTGATCCAAATTTTAACACCACTATGACAGCTCAATGAGACTTGATGTCTTATTTCTTAACTTTGTCATTATTAGATAATTTCCTAGGTTACTCAGGATTCCATGTGAAAATTCCATGCTCATTAGCTTATTAATAAATAAGCTATAAATGTTTTGCTTTTAAGAATTTACTAAAGAAAAAAACTATAAAATTAAGTATTTTTTGCATCTTCTTCATATTATTTTGACTCTTTGATAATTCAAGGAAAATGCCTATCTTTGCTCAATTTCCACAAAACAATGATTTGCACATCTATTAGGTCATCAACACATTAATGTTGCTTTTTTTTAGATGAAAAAATTCGAACAACTTATATATCAAAATATTTATTAAATGAAATAGTCTCCATTCTTATTGATGATGCTTTTCCATCTTACAATCAGGTTGTTAATGCCCTGATTAAAGAAATCACTTTGCTTTGAAGCCAAAAACATGTTGATGTCCTCTTTAACACCTTCCACATTGGCATACTTTTTCCCATTAAGATGGTGTTGCAGTGAACGAAAAAAATGGTAATCTGATGGTGCTATATCTGGAGAATATGGTTGGTGGGGGAGAACTTCCCAACCCAACTCCATAACCTTGTGTTGCATCAAACGTGCCACATATGGACGTGCATTGTCATGGAGAAGAAGAACATCTTTCTGATTGACGAATGAAGAGCATTTCTGATGAAGGGCTTGATTTAAATGTTCCAGTTGCTGACTACAGATCTCTGCATTGACAGTTCACTGTGGATTGATGTGCCACCAAATGCAAAGCATCACTTTCTGCAGATGGAGTCCAGGTTTGGGGGTCAGAAGTGGTTTTTGTCTAGAACTGAGCCATTGTTTTTGGCATTTAATATTTGCATAGAGAATCTATTTTCATCACTGGTGACAATAAAATGACATGCTTTATTTACTGAAGGAGATCTAAAAATGACAATTGTGGTAATGCTATTACAAATAAAGATGGAGATAAATAAAAAGAGAAAAAAATTGTTGAACATTATCCACTTAAAATGCATAACAGACTAAGCAGGTAGACTTCCACATCATACCTTGGCTTTTTAGGGTAAGACAAAATGACTTTTCAAAAGTCAGTGCAAATTTGAATTTGAAAGTGTCAAACTCCATTAACAGTACACTTTCTCTCTTCATTTGATCCTCAGAAAAATGCTGAAAAAATGTTTTATTTGATGTAATCCTCAATAAAATTCAAAACCTATATAAATTAACTTAATAAAAAATTTTTGATGCATATCATTAAACTTTTTTTGACTAGTGATTTGTGGCTAAGAGTTGAATATCGTGGTATATAAGCATACCATACATTACCAACTTTCATTATGTTTTAATAAGGATGACCAATCACGTGGTTACTGCTAATCATACTAGGTAAATCTGACATTACCTATTAACTAAGGAATGTTAGATTAACTCTCTCAACACAAGTTTGGTCAATTTGACTGACCACGTGACCTCTTTGTACTCATTTAAAGTCTTTATAGATTTAATACTACAAACTTTTAATATAGTACGTATACCTTCACAAAATTTGGCAGTCTTTCAGTTAACATTATAAGTTTTTCACATACAAAAAATCATATTTTTAGTGAAGTATTTTTAATAAACCAAAATAAAGATTTGTCTATGAATATATTGTTTTTTTTTTAATAGTTCGTGTGCAAAGTGATTTTCATGTTAAGATTAAGAATACTTTTCTTCCTCTCAAAAATCTCAGATTTCCTTTGTGTAGTCCCTAAAAACCTCTTAAATACATTTCAAACGTTTGTTTTTAGTAAAACTTTATATTTTATCTGTTATTTTCTTTAAGCTATCTCAGGATCAGTCAATTTGACCCAACCGTGTAACCACCAAAAAAAAAAGAGAAAGAAATCTAAATTATCTAAATTTTTCATTCTAGAATAATTTCAAATTGTAACATGAAATTACATTCGATTACTCTGTGTAGCTTTAAGCTCGTAACAGTATACACCCATTTATAATTAAATTTGATTGCACTTTGAACCATGACTAACTACTATCTGCACCATTATAAGTTGTTAATCACTCAGGGAACATGTAGCTCATGTTACATTATCGGATTACATTACCCACAAGCTACTCCGAACTGCCCGCATGTGTGCCTCATTAAACATTCTATTATATTATTATTTATTTTAACTAATCTAATCTTAACTAACCTAACAAGATCCATATTTTTACATTTTAGTTACTTTTATAATCATAAATAAAAAATAAACGTGAAAAACAAGAAATGATGTACTTATCCACATCATCTTTTTTCTTGCTATCGATTGTCAATGACACTTAACCTTACTTTTTTTTTATACTAATGGTAATAATGCAGTAAATAATTTTTATTTGATTAAATAAAGCAACAAAGAACACAGACTAATAAGCTGAAAAAAGTAGACAATTTCCCCTAACTTTTAAAAATGTTTCTGGTTTTCTAACTATGTGACAAAATCCATTACCAGTTCATCCAAGCTAGTTGTTATCTTTCCCTTGGGAACAAAGCTTGTACTAAGAGTGAAATTGACAATTCTTCATTCAGAAAACAACTTTATACAATAGGTCATTCGATAGACGAACACCTTGGCTTTCTATTGGTTATAGATAATATAGAATTAAATGTAAGATAGAACTATTATCAAATCCTGAAAGAGAAGATGTGACAGGTGGGTGCAGCAAGAGGGGTCTGATTTTCTATTTAATAGCTCTGTAACCAAACAAAATTGAAGGCTATAAAAATGATGGTTTGTCTAAGCAATGAACATTTTATAGTGATAATTTACGTTTAATTTTGTACTTATTGGAGGGGTGGTGGATAGAATAGAGAAGAGAACATGCCTAGAGAAAATGTGTCACACTAGGGAAAATTCAGGATTTTTTTAAAATACTGCCTTAATACTATTAAAATATGGGTCATTAGCTATGATTTTATGCTATAATAATTGGTATAACATAAACAAAAAGTAGATTAATAAAATTTTCAATGTAAGCCACTAAAACCTTGTGTCATGCACAGTAAAGGGTGCCTGTGGTGATAGGGTTAAACAGTTTGGTATAGGATCTTCAGGAGGATAGTAAGGTAGCTGATCTGGGAAATGCAACCAGTCTTTGTCTACCAAGCCAGTGCATTTCCTATATTTGTATTATAATAAAGATTGTTCATTTGAATTTTATATCAAGTCCACTCTCTTTATTTCATTTTCACAATCTCATTTATTCAGAGAACTACTCTGTAACAGATATCTTGTCGAATCTCTTGTTATTCAGCAGACCTACATCACTGCTCAAAGGAAAATCAGTCTGACCTGAATGTACCACAATATTTACAATTTTTCTTTAAAACAAATATAGTTTATAATATTATATTAAAGTGAAATACTAATGTCATATTCCCAAATAAACTTATTTTTCTTATCACTTAAGATTCAAAAGACATATACATTTCTAAAATTGACTTAAAATTCCTAAATAAAACAATCATCATGAGCTTTGACCTTAATATAGAGAAAAATTCTTACTACAATGACAACTTACAGATCAGTGTTCCCAAAAGGTATGGTGCCACACTAGTTTGTCAAAAATAGGATAATTGGCAGTGTGTCAAAAAAAAATCCATTTTTTATTAGAATTTAAAGAAAAATAAACAATAATAATAAAATTCATTACACTAACAGTTTCGATGTGATGATCAAGTGAAGATACATTTTATTTGCCACTGTCTGCTTTTCATATGTATATGTGTTGTTGTTTTAACTTAATATTTGAACTCATGATGTGCTGGATTTAGTTTAGTAGTTTCTAGATGTGCCTTAGTTTGGCAAACACTGCTCTACAGTTTAATAACCTTAATGCATCCTTACCCATGCGAATGTGCTCCGAGCTTTTGAACACTAACCATTCATATGTCTCATCCATAACACAGATGACGTTATGTTTCTTACAAAATTCTGCTACCATGTCTAGCTCCGAGCATGTAAATACCTAAACATAGATAACCAATTATAACTTAAGATATGATAAACTGTTGTATGTGCTTCAGCATTTAACCAACAAATACCTATAAAACAAAGGCAGGTTCAAAATGATCAACAGTAGTATTTGCACTAATGAATACAATTTTTAAGTATTATAATTTTAATACAGAAATAAATAGCTTCTCAACTTTATAATAAATATGAAAACAGGAGAAGTTCAAAAATTAAACTTTTTCTTTACTACCACAAAAACATATATTTTTACAAATGACTCAGTACAAACTAGCAACAAGCAGCATAAAAACAACATTAAATTGGCCTGTAAAAAATGAAGTATGTTGAATCTAAACAATAAACATTTAAACAAATCTATGTACTTACTAAAAGCAGAGTGAGTACAGTACAAAGTTCTGTGTGCAACTTAAGTATAACCTAAAAAGGCTTTTTCATACATTACACTGTGTATATAAATAAATTATAACAAAAACAAAAGAAACTAATCCAACATATTATGTCACGTTCTTTTCATCTTCATTGTTTTATGTTTAATATATTGTTACGTTTCTGCTCGTTTGTTAATTTCCGGTATAAATTCTTTCCGAAGAACACAAGTCCTTTCTCAATTAAAAAGAGTTTATTCTTTGTCGATACAACTTTGTAATACACAGAATTTACACAGTCACTTTAAATTTAACAACATTTAAAGCACACGCTATAAATCACAGTGATTCACACACTTTACTTATGGTGCCTACTGTTCACTTGACTCAATTATTTATCTCTTCAATCTATTTGCATATCTATCTCTCTATGCAATTGCGGTGGTTTTTCTTGCCAGGCTTATATACTAAAAAAGAGGGCGTCTAGCAAACACTGGGACACTCGTGGGGTTCCTCGATAAGTCATGATCCTTCTAGAAACTCCAGCTCGCATGCTCCCAGTGTCGCGTGACTTCCACTGTCGTAACAATATTAAATAATTAATGCAGCCTTCTTATTTTGTTTTCATGTTACTAATAACCTACAGATAAATGTATTTTTAAGTGACAAACATTTAAACAACTTGTCATTGCAAGAATTCTTATACATATTCTCTGTACTAAAATGTGCATTAAGTATGTACAAAAACTACCATTCAAAATACAGAAAACAAATACATCATTCCATAGTTAATACATACTTCAAGATTCTGCAAAATAATTAAGCACATGAAGTTATGATAACAGACCACATTATCACCAAAAAATACCCATTATAAATAACTTGGATATGTCATATAAAAACAAAAATTATGTTTAATACATTCACTAGCCACACATAATTCAATAACTATTCAAAATAATATTCTTAGGGGAAAAAACCCCCAACTCGTATCATTTTGTGTAAGCATGCTTGTTATCCTTTGAGATGGATTACCCCCACCACAGGGACCAGATACAACACAGGGCCATAGTAATCCAAGCTTCTGGCTTTTAATCTATGCAACCTTTACTTAAGTAAAAGGATTAGCATGTTTATGACTTTTCAACATCTGGTTAAGGAGAATGCTATAACTACATTCAGAACACATTCATGAAAATATAGAAAAAATCACCCAATACATCCGACCAAAAATATATTCTAAACTAGTTATGGAAGTGTGAAATTTGTAGTCCAGCTATGGCAGATGTATATTTCCTTTTCTTTGGACAAAACTATTAGTTTAAAGATTTGTTCTCTGCAGTGTTATTAATTAAAAAATGCTTTTTTTATATTTGTATAAACTAGTTTCTCTGATTCCATATTAACTTTGAAATATGGTACACCATACTTGAACTCTTTATCTAATCTTGAAAGCATGGCCTAGGAGAATTCTCTTTTATTCTAAATTGTCCTGTGCAGACGTGGCTTTGAATTCTTCTTAATTTTGCCTCTTACTGCAGCAGTCAATTGCCAGCAAGCTTAAGTATGGATATGGACCATTTATGAATAAAGTTTTGTTTTAGTTGTTTACTTTTGTTTGTCTTTCCTTCACTATCCATGTTTCAAATAATTATCTGCAGTACACTTCCAGAATATGCATTCTTGTGGATATTTTAAACTTATCCATTAGATACCAATGGACCTGAATACTATAGAAATAAACACAAAGTTAAGCTACACATACCTTTCCTAGTGGATAATGTGGGGTGTTAATAATAATCATTTTAGTTTTGTTGGTAAATTTTGAAGCAACTTCTTTAGGATCTAACACCCAATCAGCACTTGATATGGAATCCTTAGTCTTATTCTGTAAAATATATATAATGTTATTATGTATACAGAATAAAGGCATATAATATCATGTGTTTCATAAAAAAAGTTGAAATGAGGACTAAGTTTGTAATGCCTGCAAGAAGCAAGTATATAATTACTTTTCAGTAGATAAGTAACTTCTGTTAATCACAATTTGCTCTTGAGCATTTCCAGCCAGAATAAAAGAAAATTAATTTTGAGACAGCTTATATGCTTTAAAACACTTTATAGTTTTGACTTTTTTTATATGTACATTCTATGTTTGAGAAAAAGCAAATTAAAATAGAAAAAAGGTAAATTTAAACTCTGAAATGCTGGCTAAAGTTCTTAAATAAGTATATCTTAACAGTAGTAACACTTTTCACAATGTGATTAAACAAATAAAATAAAAAAACACAAATCTGTGAATATCTTAAAGATGAAATATCCTTGGCTAAACATTATAAAGTAATGAATTCATAATGTATAATCAAAAGCATAATATAGCAAATTAATCAGTAAACTTAAAATATGACACATATAAGATGTTGTATGGACAGGATTTTTATAGTTGGGCTAGGCTTTCTATTGCCATTGGTATAGAAAAAAGCTTTCGCTACCATATGATACTATATAATAGCAAACTTTCTAAAAATTGATCATGAGAAAAGAAAATTATGAGAATCAAGACAATATAAGGGTATAAAAAAGAATTAGAAGGAACACAAAATGGCTGCAATCTAGCCACAGAAATAGTGAAATAATTCACTTTCCCAATTAAAACCAATCAATAATAATGGTATTGACCTAATTGTATCATCAAATACATGACCAATAGAAACCAAGCTTGTATGAACTCTGCACCAATGAAGCAATGGATAAGTTGGTCCATTTTTAATAAGCTCAAACCAGAAACAAAACTGATCAATGAAGGTTTAGCTTAAAAACTTGTAATGAGTGTGGAGTAGCAGTCCTCATATGTGGCAGTCAACCAGCAAAGTCAAGCCAACAGTTTGAAAGCCAGTATGACCTAGCCTAGCTATGTTTTTCATCAACTTAACAAGTCTTTTCTTCTCCTTCCTTGTTATAAGTTTCATTTCATTTGCAGCTTTATAATCTTTAACTCTTAATTAATTTGACAAGCTTTCATCAAACATTACAAGTCTTTCATACACAAAAAATCTAATTTTTTAATTAAGTATTTTTACTAAAAGTTTGTCCATGAATATATAGAGTCAGAGTGTTGATTCTCTGAGTGCAAAGTGATTTTCATATTAAGATTAAAAATCTTTTTCTTCACCTGAAAACTTTCAAATTTAATTTGTATAACCTCTAAATAAATATCAAGGATTTTTTTTCATCTATTATTTTCTCTATCCTAACTCTATATGGATTTGTAACCATCATAAAAATACAAAATAAATCTAAGTTACTTTTTTCTTTCTAAAATGACTGCAGATTGTAAAAAAAAACTACAATTGTTTATCTTAAATAGCCTAAGGTCCATAACAGTCTACATCTGTTCATGCTTAATTTTCTAGTTTATTACTCCCTAAAAAAAAGAAAGAATGAAGATTACAACACTTACTTTGCCTCAATATCTATATTATAATGAGTAATCTATATTAAATTCTGTATTTTAGAGAGGGGTGGTAAATAGAGAAATATATTAGAGAACTGGAAAAACCTAGAGAACAAATGTCAAGATTCTCATATAAGGGGAGATTGAAGATTTTTTAAATATTTGCTTATAAAATTAAGAGCATAAGACTTATAATATTAGCATTTGATTTATTAACTACATTTTGATGCTAACTTTACCTGTATACATTGGTAATAAAGTAGCTTAATATCAACTTTTAAATTTGACTTTGTAAAAGGTTGTAACATGTGCACTTTGACCTACGCATAATTTATAATTATATACGTTTGTTTCTAAGTAATAACAAATGTTGTAGAGTGAGGAATTATCAAGTGACTGTACAATCATATTAAGGAACTTTTAATTCAAAAAGGATATATTATTTTACTTTGAAAATAAAAGATTTTGGTCTCAATTCTTTATACCACATAAACTTCCTTAAACTGATGACCTGTGCAATATTGCCAGTAACTGCATATTCCTGGTATCTAAATAAATACTATTAGTAGTGATAATTATCTGTAGTTAAGAGGCTGTTACAAAATAATTTTGATTTGTAACTCATACACTGAAATTGTTTTTTAAAATAACTGTTCTTGTATTTAAAGAGGTTTTCAAATTTACCTTCAAAAGTGGTACAAAAACAGGAATGCCACCTGCCATTTTAGTGATGTGTACATAGCATTCAAAAAATGGTTCTATGATAATGACCTAGAAGAGATTAATATGCAATAGTTATCCCAACTTGCAAGACATTATTGAATTACATAAAAGCTGCAATATTCAAAAAAGACTACCATGAATTTAAATTTTCTTATAAATATAAGTAACATACAAAGAACTGATTAATTGCCAAAAATAAAAATTACACTTAATTATCCACTTGAAAAGAAATTAACAAGTTTGAACATGAAGTGCAGCTGAAATATATGATACAATGTACAGTATAACAAATTACCTACAAAATCCTACAATCTGTCTATATACTACTAAAACTCTGAGATTGTTTGTTTGTGGGCTTCTCTGTAATTAAATACAACAAAAATGGCACATAATACCACCATATTTGTAATGAAATGAGAATAAAACAGGTTTCGTTCAAATGGGGCCATGGGTTACCGAGTTAGCCCCATTTTTCAGATAACTTTTATGAAACTTTCTAGATGAATTTATGTACACTAAAAGGCGCCACATATCGGTTTATATATCTATCTATTAGTTTACCACCTGATGAATCACTTTAAAATATCTTTCATACAACAATATATGCACGACAGAAATTAAATGATGAGATGAAAATGTGTTATAATGGTGCAT